CAAGCACAGCTGGCTCCTCTCTCATTACGGTAATGATCTATTTGTGCTATTTACCTTGTTTGTGATAAATCAGACTGGAATTTGAGATGTAACATAAATTGATACATTATATTCTAATCTGGCGGACACAACACTGAAACGCCAAAGAGAGGACGGCCATCTTCAATCAACAAGAGCCCAGAGACAGGAGCCCTCTGAATAGTGGAAAGAGACCACACATGGATGATGGAAGTCCAAAGGCTCCCTCTTCTAAAAAGTCACGCAAACCACCGCCCATGGATGCGCGCATGGACCAAACTGGACGTTTCCCCCTGAAGACAAAGAGAGGACACTGCAGACATTGCAGTAAAGGGTACACCAATACCCAATGCAGTAAGTGTGATGTCCGCCTCTGTTTTTCAGAGGACAGGAACTGTTTCTGGGATTACCACTATAAGTAAAGGTGGACTTCACACTGAGCACATAAATTTCAGTGGAGAGCGAGAGAACACTGCAGACATTGCACTGTTAACAATGTAAATAAATAAAGATCTTATTTGTTGGAATAAACAACTCTTCATAATAACATGACTGAGATTATTATTCATTTTATACACTGGTTTGGTAAAAACAAAAACACTGCAAATTAATCCTTAATTATGCAGCTTGATGGGCACCTCTTCGGACCTGACGTGCTGCCCAGCTACGCAAACGCAGCTACGTGGATGTACTCTCTTGTAATTGGCCAGAGTGATCACAAGTCTCCGGATGTTTTGGTCTCGTTGCTGAAAGAGTGCATGAAGCGGTGGAAAAACCCCAGCCCCCCTGTGCTGCCAGCTTCTCCAAGCCCCGTGCTCCCTCTTTTGCCAAAACCACCATGAGAACGACCGACAACTGGCTGAAGGAAGAGCTGCAACGGGTGAAAGAAAGGCAGAAAGCAACGGAGGAGTGCCTGCTCAGATGCATTCCGTTTAGTTTTGCTTTTTAACTTTATTTATAGTTAACGGTTTTGATTGCATTCTTTTTTCTTTGTGTGTTGCTGACGGCATTACATTATAATTCTGGAAAAGAAACTGCAACAGGATGCTTTTACCCTACACTCGAGTATAAACACACTCTCTCACTTAAAGCAATTTTATTCTTTTTTGCATTTCACAAAAATAATAATAATAAAAAACAATAATAATGATAATATATTCTATTTATAAGGCACTTTTAAAAGGTCATTTAATAAAGTCAGCTGCATGTGGAGGCTTAATGAGACTTGGATGAAGGAACACTAGCAGTTAGGAGGTATTTAAGGTGATTATAGGTTGTTCGAGTGTTTCAACTGGTCACTGTACACCTCCGTTGTTGGAGGAAATGCAAGCATTTTTCCTGAGTAAGTCCATAAAGTGTTAAAGATTTTTTTTTTTAAATACAACAGACTTCTTATTGATATAAAGGTGATAATGCCAGTCTTTCCCCAACCCTACAACCTGCGACAATGCAGGCTCACAAGGTCTGTTCCTGCAACAGCTTCTTTCAAGTCACTGTCAGGCTTGTGGCACCGGACAGTAAGGAGGGACAGACATATTTCAAGTGTTGAGTCAAGGAAGCAAAGTAAAAGCCCTTAAAAATAAATGAGCAGCTCTGGCCCAAAAGAGAGTGCAAGCCCCAAAGCTTACCTCTCTTTTTTGCAGACACACTCCGGTTTTGGACATTCTTGCAGGGATGACATGCTGACCTCATCTTCTGACCCCTCTTCTCTTGGCATACTGACATCTGGACAAACAAATAACTTTATTGTAGTATACACTACATGAAATATGTAATAGCCGTCAGTGCAGTGGTTGTGTTATTTATAAAATAATTTAGTATATTCAATTCAATTTTCTATTCAGTTTATTTATATAGCGCTGATTCACAACAGATGTCGTCTCAAGGCACTTAATAAGAAGTCAGTATATGGGATTTGTGTCTCTTAAAGAGAGACAGTTTATTTCATCCCGTCTCCTATAGTCCTAAATTCTTTTCAAGTGACTAGTGACGTGAAAATATTAGTTGTCATGTTAGCCCAGGGATGGGCAACTCCAGTCCTCAAGGGCCACTATTCTGCAGGTCTGAAATGTTTCCCTGCTTCAACACACCTGATTCAAATTAAATAGATCAAACAGCTTGTTGCCAAGCTCTGCACAATGAATCAGGTGTGTTGCAGCAGGGAAACATCTAAAACCTAAAGGATAGTGGCCCTCAAGCAGTATATTTCCTCATATAGTGTATGGACGACAGACCGTCCCACGCAGTCCACTAGTGCTGAAGTAGCTGTGCGCCGAAAAGATTGTATGTTGGACAATATAAGATGAACTGATTTCATCAGACAGAAAGCGACTGTTGTTACTGACATTACAAGTAGAATTAACGACAAGGCTGTATGAGTTTATTAGATGTCATCTAACCCGATGGCATATGCGTTTGAGCCAGTGATGAGGAGGAGGGTTGAGAGACCCGTTTTTGGTTGAGGGAGCTGCAGCAGCTCCGGACGGAGATGACAGTGAGGAGAGGGTCGGCAACCCTTTGCAGTGCAAGTGCGGTCACTGCGATCAACCGTGGAGTCTGTTTGCTGCCATGAAGCAGACTTGGATAATGTGCTCAGGGAATTGTCCTGCATCACCTTATCGCGCACATTCCAGATGTTCTGTAGTGACAGGGACGTGTTGGAGTAGCTGTGCTATCCCTGTATGAAGTCTGTGCCGAGAGATTAGAGCAACCTATAAGCAATAGGTGGGTTCCCGCTAACCTCAAAGTTAATGCTACTTGTAATTTCAGGCAGTACTGACGCAGTGTTCAGTTTTAAAACTGGGGTTGTGTTTGACTGATTGTGCAGCCTCTGCATCATACAGGTCTCCTGACAGAGTTGCAGGAGAAAGAGGTGGGTGGGACAAAGAAGGGAGGTGGAGTTGTTGATGTTGAAATTTTTGCCACGTGCTGTGTGAAATGCACGAAAGGTAAGAATTGCGTTCAAGCTCACCGGTTGCAGACACTCCCTGGTTTTGACTTTGTGATGTGGAGGTACATTCTTGCGTGGATGACATGCTGACCTCATCGTCTGACCCATCATCTCTTAGCATACTGACATCTGGAGAGGGAAATAACTTAATACAATACACAAAATATCTAAAACGGATCATTTAAAAATCAATTTAGGAACATCGTATACACATACCTTCAATGTCCTCTGCTAAAGGTCCCTCCATGTCAATGGTCTCTAAAATGATAATTGATAAAAAATTGAGTTTGGAAAGCTGAAACTATGGGCAATCTGCAAGAGTATACAACAGTAGCATTATCTCTCATCCCGTCACCATTACTGCCCTATGTTTTACATGGTAAATAGTTGTTTTCTGAATGCGGAAGACTAAATGTCATATATTGTGCCTTCAAGAATATAAAGTTAATTACCATTCACATCGACTTGTATTTCATCGAGGCTCTTTCCTTTGTAATCTCCTAGGCGTCCTTGTTCCATTGCCAGGAGGACTTTACTTACTTTGGCTAATTGGAGGGTGCTTTCTGGGAGCCTGTAGTGTTTCCTGTGAACAGCGATATTATGACCAAGGAAGTCTGCCAACTGGTCGAGCTCAGTGGTTTTGAGGTTCAGAACAGTAGACAGGGTAGCAATATGTTATATATGAGATTAGTCAATAATTTAATCAGTCAGAAAAGAGAGAGAGTTGAGCTTCTCTAATAAATGATTACTGATTGATTGTTGGTGATCTCTATTTAATTGATAATTAATGCACCAGGCGAGGACGAGGACTCGACCGGATTTTGGCAACAGAGACCGGCCCTACCGGGGTTTGTCCCGGTATGCTGGCTGACCAGTAGCCTACATCACTGGGCACGTTGTATCTTTTTTTTTTTTTTTTAAGCACACACCTGAGCGCTGATCACTGGACATCACTCCTGCAGGTGTTTATGCCAATCCAATAGATTCAATTTCAAATGAATCCATTTAAATTCAGATTTTAAAAGCAATTGTTCAAAACAATCGATTCAGGTTCAAAGTAAATGATTCCCATTCAAATATAAAATTCAAATTCGCTTACTAGTGGCAAAAATTTATCACATAAACAATTATATTGTTAAAATGTGTTTTGGGGCTTACCAGAATGCTTTTTGTGCGTCTCAGTGGTGGAACAAGTTCATCATCCGATTGATTGTTGGAATGGTTGCTTGGAGAAGCCTCATCACAAGTTTCTTTCACAACAGTTTCATCTGAATCGTACAAATGATCTGAAAAATCTGGGCCAATATCATTCTGCCCTATAATAACATCCAGGTGTGGGGTGAGGTTCGTTTTCCATACCATCCTCATCAGTTTCATCACTATCTGGATAATCAACCAGTGAAAATCCTTGGACAGTAAATACCTAAAAATAAACAAAAATTCATTAAGTATGGAATTAGAAAGGTTGGCCAAAGAAACATGGCATGGTCTGACTAAAAATCTAAATCCAGAAATGTGAACATCAGCCCTTTTAGACAGTGTACAATTATAAATGTTAAAATCAGAGTACAGCTATACTATAGTATTACAATACTATCATATAGTTGCCTGAGGAAGACCATTTGGATCGAAACCTTTGTTTTTTAGTCAATAAAAAAGGTAACTGTGAGCTTTAACCCAGTATGCAGATTTTCTTCTTTTTCCTCCCCAGATGTTACCATAATGCATTAAAAGGTGCCCCACAAGAATGGGACTGGAAAGATGCCAGTGTGTGTTACATTACCTGGCCTTTACAACCCAATAAAGGTCACCTGACTACTTTAAAGCCCCGTGAGCATTGGTCCATGGTCCAATTGACCATTACAGGGGTTTTCAGTGCATCAAATCAAAATATTTAACATCAAAATTCAAATCAAAAATATTGCTTTAAAACATCTAACAGCTCAGACACAGTATACAATTACGAATGTTAAAATCACAGTTGAGGTCATGTCAGGTGTTGCCACAGTGCATTAAAAACAATTACCGTAAGAACTGGACGGAAGGGCCCCACATGGGTCAGACTACAGACATACGAGTGTGTAAAGGAGGGACTTGAGAAACAAATGTATTTGGAAGATGGAAGGACCCCATAAGAACATGACTGGAAACATGCCGGTGTGTGTGACATTACCTGGCCTTTAACAGCCAATATAAAGCCACATAAGCATTGGTCCACTTTAGTAATAGAACACCACCACATACATGTCAGCATAGATGAATGTGTTTGAATGTACTTTTACCTGTGTGCAGGTCTGATCTGGGTTAGGTCTATCATTAAGCATCTGAGGAACAGGGCTGGTCTCATTCTCTTCTGCTGCAGCAGGAGTCTGAAGGCCTTTCACCTGAAATAGACAGACAAGAAGAGACTCAGAACTGTATGAAGAGACATTCACAGGCTAATAAGGTCATCTAATGGTGAAACAGCACTGAACTTTAACTGAGAGCATGGACTAAAAAGCTGCTCACGTCTATTCCAAGAGTTTGCAGTGGATCAAATCAAAATATTGCTTTAAAACATCTAACAGCTCAGACACAGTATACAATTACGCATGTTAAAATCACAGTTGAGGTCATGTCAGGTGTTGCCACAGTGCATTAAAAACAATTACCGTAAGAACTGGACGGAAGGGCCCCACATGGGTCAGACTACAGACATACGAGTGTGTAAAGGAGGGACTTGAGAAACAAATGTATTTGGAAGATGGAAGGACCCCATAAGAACATGACTGGAAACATGCCGGTGTGTGTGACATTACCTGGCCTTTAACAGCCAATATAAAGCCACATAAGCATTGGTCCACTTTAGTAATAGAACACCACCACATACATGTCAGCATAGATGAATGTGTTTGAATGTACTTTTACCTGTGTGCAGGTCTGATCTGGGTTAGGTCTATCATTAAGCATCTGAGGAACAGGGCTGGTCTCATTCTCTTCTGCTGCAGCAGGAGTCTGAAGGCCTTTCACCTGAAATAGACAGACAAGAAGAGACTCAGAACTGTATGAAGAGACATTCACAGGCTAATAAGGTCATCTAATGGTGAAACAGCACTGAACTTTAACTGAGAGCATGGACTAAAAAGCTGCTCACGTCTATTCCAAGAGTTTGCAGTGGATCAAATCAAAATATTGCTTTAAAACATCTAACAGCTCAGACACAGTATACAATTACGATGTTAAAATCACAGTTGAGGTCATGTCAGGTGTTGCCACAGTGCATTAAAAAATTACCGTAAGAACTGGACGGAAGGGCCCCACATGGGTCAGACTACAGACATACGAGTGTGTAAAGGAGGGACTTGAGAAACAAATGTATTTGGAAGATGGAAGGACCCCATAAGAACATGACTGGAAACATGCCGGTGTGTGACATTACCTGGCCTTTAACAGCCAATATAAAGCCACATAAGCATTGGTCCACTTTAGTAATAGAACACCACCACATACATGTCAGCATAGATGAATGTGTTTGAATGTACTTTTACCTGTGTGCAGGTCTGATCTGGGTTAGGTCTATCATTAAGCATCTGAGGAACAGGGCTGGTCTCATTCTCTCTGCTGCAGCAGGAGTCTGAAGGCCTTTCACCTGAAATAGACAGACAAGAAGAGACTCAGAACTGTATGAAGACATTCACAGGCTAATAAGGTCATCTAATGGTGAAACAGCACTGAACTTTAACTGAGAGCATGGACTAAAAAGCTCTCCGTCTATTCCAAGAGTTTGCAGTGGATCAAATCAAAATATTGCTTTAAACATCTAAAACATCTCAGCTCCACACAGTATACAATTACGATGTTAAAATCACAGTTGAGGTCATGTCAGGTGTTGCCACAGTGCATTAAAAACAATTACCGTAAGAACTGGACGGAAGGGCCCCACATGGGTCAGACTACAGACATAGAGTGTGTAAAGGAGGGACTTGAGAAACAAATGTATTTGGAAGATGGAAGGACCCCATAAGAACATGACTGGAAACATGCCGTGTGTGTGACATTACCTGGCCTTTAACAGCCAATATAAAGCCACATAAGCATTGGTCCACTTTAGTAATAGAACACCACCACATACATGTCAGCATAGAAATGTGTTTGAATGTACTTTTACCTGTGTGCAGGTCTGATCTGGGTTAGGTCTATCATTAAGCATCTGAGGAACAGGGCTGGTCTCATTCTCTTCTGCTGCAGCAGGAGTCTGAAGGCCTTTCACCTGAAATAGACAGACAAGAAGAGACTCAGAACTGTATGAAGAGACATTCACAGGCTAATAAGGTCATCTAATGGTGAAACAGCACTGAACTTTAACTGAGAGCATGGACTAAAAGCTGCTCACGTCTATTCCAAGAGTTTGCAGTGGATCAAATCAAAATATTGCTTTAAAACATCTAACAGCTCAGACACAGTATACAATTACGATGTTAAAATCACAGTTGAGGTCATGTCAGGTGTTGCCACAGTGCATTAAAAACAATTACCGTAAGAACTGGACGGAAGGGCCCCACATGGGTCAGACTACAGACATACGAGTGTGTAAAGGAGGGACTTGAGAAACAAATGTATTTGGAAGATGGAAGGACCCCATAAGAACATGACTGGAAACATGCCGGTGTGTGTGACATTACCTGGCCTTTAACAGCCAATATAAAGCCACATAAGCATTGGTCCACTTTAGTAATAGAACACCACCACATACATGTCAGCATAGATGAATGTTTTGAATGTACTTTTACCTGTGTGCAGGTCTGATCTGGGTTAGGTCTATCATTAAGCATCTGAGGAACAGGGCTGGTCTCATTCTCTTCTGCTGCAGCAGGAGTCTGAAGGCCTTTCACCTGAAATAGACAGACAAGAAGAGACTCAGAACTGTATGAAGAGACATTCACAGGCTAATAAGGTCATCTAATGGTGAAACAGCACTGAACTTTAACTGAGAGCATGGACTAAAAAGCTGCTCACGTCTATTCCAAGAGTTTGCAGTGGATCATGGATAGGGTTAGGATAGGGTCATGGATACATGTCAGCATAGATGAATGTGTTTGAATGTACTTTTACCTGTGTGCAGGTCTGATCTGGGTTAGGTCTATCATTCAGCATCTGAGGAACAGGGCTGGTCTCATTCTCTTCTGCTGCGGCTGGAGCTTGGTTTTTTTTCAACTGGATTGCAGATAAAGAAGAACTCATTTTAACACACATCACAGATCAAAGATTAAATGCATTTCCATAGACAGTCAAGAGTAATATTGGAAACATGGTTAATTTTGGAGAAATACAAAATTTTCTTTTGCAACAAAAAAATTTAAAAAAAGAAATCTCTATACTTAATCTAACCAACTCACCTTACAGCGCCAAGGCCATTTTGAATCACCATAGTTGTAATCAATTTCATCTCCTATTTCTATTTTCTTCAGAGAAAAAAGGCACAAATGTGGTTTGTTGTCAACTATGATTTTTTTCATAACGCAATTTGGATTTTGGTGGTTGTCATTGACCAATCTTCCGAGAGATAAATCTTCTTCAGATGCATCCAGGCTGAAAAGTATCAAAAAAATGGTAATAGTTTTACATCTTTTTAAAAGTTTTATTGAAAGAGTTATTTTCAAAAGAATTTAAGAGTATTTTTGCTTAACTCATTCATCAAGTATTAAACCCTTGTTTCAGGGTTAACTCGTAATTTCGCTAAATCAATACAAAACATCCATCTTTCAATGTTTACCATAAGTGATGATTCTGCCACTGAAAGTCAAAGAGAAATGTGCTTTCAATCTCTGAGTATTTTCTTGACTTGCATTCCTCCTGTGTGAGGAGTTTACCCCTGTACTCCAACACGAAGTCCCCGGGTTCAATGGGTTTGTGGCAAACACTCCTCTTCCTACAATAATATAATAATTAAACATTTCATTCTGGGACTCAAAAACAGATACTACAGTATTTTCAAAGTGAGGTTGATGTTCTTGCGTCTAGTCAGTGTATTACCTGCAGACAATGCTCAGCACTCTCCCAGTTGTGATACACACTCTACAGGTAAAGTGCTTTTTTGATCAGACTTTGTGGCCAAAAAATGTTTTTGATGCAGACCCATCCACATCAATGCATCATTGAGGTCCTGTCTATGCTGTCTAATTTTCACTTTTCCACGAGAATCAATAGCCGCGTTTCCACTGTCGGGCCAGTGCGAGCCAGGGCTTTAAACTGGGCCGAGCCGGGCTAATGGCCTCGGGCCAGGAGCACCGGGCTCAAAACCAGCTGTTGCGTTTCCACTGTCTGGCCAGAAGCTCCACAGCGCTTCACTAAAACACGCTAGGGGTGAACTAGCACGGCCCGGCTCTGGCCCGACAGTGGAAACACGGCTACTGTATGTTATGATTGCCTAACGATTATACACTGGCCGGGAAGCCGATATTTAAAAGTGAAGCGTTTGTTTACCCCTGGGTTCGTCAACCAGCCCACGTGCATGCGCACTCAAATACGAGATTTTAATTTCTGCCCCGACTTGACGTCAAGACGGGGCAGGAAATACCATATATGGACACCTATGCTGCAGGAAGCCCGCCCTGCCCCTCTCCCCTCATATTCAGTCGCGAAAGATGCAGAAACGTAGTGCACACGTGAGTTGCTCTGTTGTTGACTGCCAGAATCAACATGTAACTTAAATGTGTTTTCTCTCCCAAGAACGGACCAAGCTGTCAGGGACCAGTGGATTAAATTCATTTTTAATGACGCGGTTCCTACAACCCTTCCCACTGGCTTAACGTTAGGTGTCTGTGCTAATCATTTTACACCGGAATCGTTCACAAATTTGAATGTCTAAAAAACCACAACGTGAAACAAGGCGAAAACACCACATGATTGATCTCAATAACAACTGTAAGCTGATAAAAAAAAGTAGACTACATCTCCGTTAATGTAATCTACATTAAATAAAAGGTATAATGAATGTCTCAGTCAAAATGATTGTTTTTACCATTCAGAGACATCTTGATGTAGACGTCCTTCCATCGACTCTACATCTTCCCTTTCCAGCTCAGATTCAGAGTCTGGCTCGTGCATGTACGGTTGAATTCCGTAGGTCGCAGCCAGGTCGGGTGCATTTACAACTTGCGCCATGATGTCATTTTGGAATGATATGCTGAAGTTACGTGCGGTGTCAACCCCCCTCCTTCCTGCCACCAATCAACGCGCCCCTTTGCATTATTAAAATGACCATCCATGACAGCCAAAATATCACATCAGATCTCGCGAGACAATAATGCCTTCAGAAATAAGGGTCAGAGGAGCTCTCCACTTTTCTTTTTTAGAAGGGCCTGAAAGGCTATAATAGAGCGTGGGTATCCAAGGTAATACTAAGTTATGACTCCTTTAAACTGAGAGTGCCGTGTACCATTTAGTGCAGGTAACACCAGTGAAGCGTAAGAACATCATGCAACTCAGACTTTTGACATAGACAGACGGTACTATACTGATCCACAACTGGAAAAATACATTGTAGCCGCAGCAAGGCATGAAACTAAATATTAAATAGCAATATAAAAAACGGAAAGTATTCCTGATTTACAAAATAAATATAGGACACAGAAAAGCAATATAACAAACGTATATACAACAAATAGAGAGACTAGTTAAATAATGTATTGTGCAAATGAGCTTTAAAGACCCACTCCGATGATAATCATGTTTTTCGTGTTGTTAACATGTTCTTGTGGCATTTTTCTAAAGCTAGAGGACATATCTTTAGAAAATTAAGCTCAAAATTGCATTTTTGAGTATTTCTGCATTCAAATGGCTGTGAACCAATGGCAGTCACTAAAAGGCAGCCTAAAACAGACTGGAGTTGTGATGTAATAACTCTGGGGGGGCCACAAGCTCCTGCCCCACTCCGCTCAGGTTATGAGGAGTAGAGAAGACAATGGCGGATCAACACCTGTGTGCTGTAGTGGGTTGCAGTGCTAAGAAGAGAGATATTGGTATTAGCTTTCATAATTTACCGCAGCGCTGGCTCCGCCCACAACGCAGAGGCTAATTGCTAATGAGCACAGCTGGGACACTCAAGCAGAAGATTACTAACTTTGTCAGGCGAGGAAATTATATTGCCAGATGCCTAGCATGCAACTTAGCCAAGTCTACCCAACGAACTAGCCATGACTGGTGGGGAGGATGAAGCTGCTGCCGGGAGCTTTGAATCTCAGGTGGCTATACGCATCGTTGTTGTACGGGGCTGTACATTGCTCCATTTACACTTGGTCACATAAATGTGTCGGATATAAATCCGATTTTCAACTCCCGCACTATATACTGATTTAATGGAGTTAAGATATGTGCTGCATTTTATTGATCGTCAGCTAAAATGTCAACATCAAAGAGAGAGTGGCAACAGCGCTGGTAAGATCATCTCGTTTCTTTACTTTTAATGAAGATGATTGTGTGTTAAGCATCTGCGACTTACTTTCACTTTGATTTGCGATAGTTTGCAAGTTGGCTTGATGAATAGATGCTCAGCTGCGCCGTGTTGCAGTAGCGTCGTCATATCTAGCTATAACATGACGTATAGCCTATAATAACACTCTCTCACACGTTTATTTTTGTGCATTTTTGGGAGGAGTAACATTTACATATGTGGTTTCAACAACCAGATGCACATACACTTGTCCGATCACAGAAAACATATGAAGTGAAGTGTAAACAGCCCCCGAGTGGTGGTATGCCAGCGAGCTTTGCTTGGCATAATTTAAAATGGTTGGTCGCAGAGTAAACGGTCACGACAATACTCTTCTTCTGTTGTTTGTTTACACTATGCACAAAACACAGGTAGCCTAGATCGCGCAGTAGGGTGTTTCATTCATGTTAGCTGACGACACCTTGTGTCCCCGACAGGAAAATACCCAGCTGCGTGTTCTGTGAATGTAGGTGCGGTGTCAATTTAGAACACATAGGAATTGCGCGAAAATATAACGATATTCGAAAATGCTTTTTATGATCGAATTTCGCACGCAGTTCCGACTATTCGAAGATCGCGACTCATCCCTAACATCAACAATAATACTTTTTTGCTTTTGAAATGCACAAGTTGTGTCAAGGAATCTTCTGCAACTTACCTTTGTAACGGTCAATGAATCTCGGCATAAACCCATCCTTGTCAGTGCAAGACAGAATGTATGTCTTTGCATCGTCTATAGGCTTTTTCCTCCTCCTCCTTGTGGACATAATGGCTCTGTGAAAATAATTGTAATTCGTACTTAGTCAAGGCAAATCTCACAAAAAGGTTTTTGAAAAATAGCGAGTCACAAAAAAAATCTATTATGTAAAATAAATAAATAAACAGACATTCATACAAACACATAGACGCTGCAACAGCTGTGTACTGAGCTTTGCTATTGCAAGATGCACATTGTTTAACATCAAACACGGGCTAATGAAATATGCAAATTCTGAAATGAGCACACTGAAAGCTGACCGAGCCTGTTGAAGCCGAGAAGTTAACTTGTTAGATGATAACCATGTTGTGCTGCACAGACACTCCGTAATCAATTTAAACTAGGGATGTCAAACTTAACTTCTGGTACAGCAGCATGGCGGCGTTGCCACATGACCATTGACTGACATATGCAGCATCACATCCTTCCTCATACATAAGCGCATGGATGGTTATGGGGGGGTCCAGGGTAGGCCGGTACCACCAGGACAAAAGCTTGGTGAAAACTTCCCTTAGAAGTATTGAGTCTAAACAAGCAAAGGTTTCACATCTTGCTACATTTGTTGATCAGTTGATCAGTCACAGTGATGCTCTGAAATTTAAGAATGTGTTTTTATTTGTTAAAAATGTGGGTCAATGACGTGACGCCTAAATTTTCTGTTCGACTGCATTTTTTCAGGCAAAAATGGGTTTAAATGCCTAAAAGGATACTGCATATTTGTAGTACCTCTCCCATGTATGTACTCACTTTAACTTTTCAAAAACCTTTACTTATTTGTTATTTTTTTGTTATTTAAAGTGTCAAAACATCATGTGCGTAGGTTCGGCCATAACTTCTGTTTTGAAAACATCTTTGATATTGATTATTATTGAGTGACTCCAACACGGCACCGTAGCTTCAGTCCTGCGTTAGCTTCTGGCTAACCTCCATCAGCGAGTCCTGCCCTGTCTTGCTCACAATTCACAACCGATTCCACCTTTAACGACAGGACTTCACTGCACCCTGTCTCTGCCCCGCTGTCATGTCCGTGGTGACGTTATTAGGTTAAGCCAACTGCTAATAGTAATATTATGTCGCTAACGTTAGCTACATGGCAGCTAAACGAGGTAGCAAACATCACGATATAACGCCAAAATAAACTCACCATAAAAACCATGCCTAGCTTACCTGTTGCATGAAGAAGTCGGTATTTGTAAAAATATTCAGATGTCCAACCACTCCGTCTTCTTCTTTCTTCAATCTTCTATCCTTGAAGTCTTCTTCTTCGTCTACTTCTTCTTCTTGTGCAATTTCCGCAGTTTTCCTTACATTCGCGGCTGATTGTACAGTGCAGTAATTTCATTGGCCAAAGGTTTCAGATTCCCGCGGTGTGTATTCGATTTCGCGGGAAGTGTATATCCTGACTTCCGGTACAAAAAGGCTGGACGATACACACCTTCACACACATACCCACTTTTTGCTACCTTACGGGCCACTTTTTAGAAATGAAAAAAAAAGCAATGGTAGCATCAGGGGAAGCTGCTGAGCTCATTTTAATTGAAATCGGAGTGGGGCCCACCATTTTGGGCCCCACTCCGATTTTGGAACTCCTTAGGTGGATGTGCTCCCACCGATGGGAACCCACACCGACGCAAATGTTAGTACACACACACACACACACACACACACACACACACACACACACACACACACACACACTCTAAAGTACGCTCTGTCACTGCACTGCCCTTCTACACAAATAAAATCCAAGATTTCATCCAGCCTATTAGGGTAAATCTAATGGATTTCCTTATTTACTATTTTTGATTTAGCTTCTTTCCGTTACGGTTTCTAGCGCTGTACAACGCTACTGCCCCTCAACTCACTCCCCACCCCTCTCTCTCCACTGTGTGCACGGACAAGTAGCATGTGTCGTGGCAGAAAATTGTTTCTGTGAGATTGTTTAGTGTTTTCCCCCTCTTGCTGTTCCTCTCCTGACCTTGAATGAACATTCCCCAAAACATAGAAACCTAGACTGTGTAAATGATTATGCATCCCTTCGCTCAGGCCCAGACGCCCGAAGCTGCCCTTGGCAGCAGGTCTCTGGACCAGCTGTATGTGTGTTATTGTACTTCTCTGTTTGTTCTCTTTCATTAATAAATTATTCAAAGACAACGGTTTGTTGTTAATCAATTATTTGTTCAATCCTTCACCAGCAATATACAATTTCCATGACAGCATGCACATAACTCAGAAGAGAGCTCGTGATTAGGTTTGACAGTTCACATTACTGTTTAAATGTGGCCCATATCATACTCCAGTGTGAACTCTCCGCAGCCTGAATGTGACCCGCATGCACAGAAGAACAACACAACGTCACACGCAACACGCTGTTGCAGGCTACAGCAGTAAACCAGGAGCAACAGAATTTAGCTCCAGTTAGCTCACGGGAGACTCCCGTTTTTCTTGGTCCTCTCACGGGTCACATTTTTCCCGAATTATGACAAGTGTTCACAACTTTCTGTTCATTTCATTAAGGTTTCTGCAACGCAACTGCCCCACAACTCTGTCCCCCTCTCTCTCTGGTCCACTTGGACAAATGGCATGCTCATAACTCAGATGAGATCTCGCGGTCCGGTGGATTTCAAGTGGGAGAAATGGAATTTGAGCAGATGATGGCAAGGTAGAGAAGAAAGTTCAAATCTGAACTGGAAAAGATCAGATTGCATGTGACTTGGGGTGTTCACACTGTTATAAGTTGATCTGATCTGAGTCACATATGAGTGAAAAATTGATTTTGGTCATATTGGCCTGCAGTCTGAATGTAGCCATACTCACTCCCGACCCATCACACATGGGCGCTTGCTCAAGACCCCTTGGCGTCGTTTAATGCCCTGGATAACCCCGTTTTTCAAAGTTTAGGGCTCCAAGGTCAAGTTCGAAATGGTTAGCAACAATAAATATGCAATGTCCGGTTAATTTCCAGACAGGATGACTTTTAAAACAATGCATAAGCAAAGGCTGGGATGACTTACAAAATAAAATATTAATGTTGCAAAAGTCTCCATTTTGAAACAGCACATTGTTAAAGTTGTGAAACAGTGCAATTTGGTTAGATTTAGTACCAAAAGTACTTGGTTAGGGTTTGGAAATGATCAAGGTTTGGGTTAAAATAACTATGTACATTAGGCTACTTAAATTACATGTTAACTAACGTTACTTGCATAACTTAAGCTATTTACGTAACTTAATAAAAAAACACTTAATGTTCACTTTTTGTTTCACACAGGAAATGAACAGTGGTCTCCAGCGGTTGAAAGTCCAGTTTCTGGCGCTCTATCCACCCCAACCGCCTCCTTACTTTGTGTTTTCTGTTAAATATCATTCAGCTACCTTTACCATTTTAGTGCGTTACAAACTGGCGCCGACGGGTCTTGACCATGAGTGCATGTGCTGCAGTCAACAGTAGAATTTCATTTTGCAAGTGCTTTAATATTATTGCTTCTATTGTACTTTTACTGAGGAACTGTTCAAAGTTTACCTCATACAGTATCTTTAGGCTTCTAACAAAACTCCCATTTGAAATGTATCAGTTCAGTTGATGGAAAAAGTGTATAAGGAAGTGTAACGTTAAAATGTCAGCCCACCTTCAGGATTTATGACTCAAAACTGAACCACATCATTTTTACAGGTGCATTATTTGGCACATTACATGGGAAAGTCACTGAGTAATGTGTTAGTCACTCTGAGATGAAGAATAATGCCGATAGCTAGCTAGCTAGGGCTGCTGCTAATGTGTCATAGTGTCATAGGGTATAGCCAGAAACATATGCCATTTAGCCTCTATATTTATATCTACTGTACAGGACTTTGCCATTTTAAAGATAATCAGTACATGCCAGCTGAGATAATTAGGTCTTACCAGGTCTGTAGTCAGCTTGTTTTTCAGAAAGACCTCTTCAGGGTCACAATCTGTCTCTGTATTTTGAGAACAATGTTGCTCTAATGTCACTATAATTTATCCTGGTAACAGTAATTTTTGACAGCTCCTGAACTCGTTTTATTTTACTTTAACTTGCTTATGTGGCACTATAACATACTGTATCTTAAACAGGCTAATAGTGACTTAGCTAGATGACTTGACTGACTTCTTAGGCAAAAAAACACAAACATTAGCTCAAACCCTAGCTACCACCACCACCTACTGTTAGCTGAACATGAATCCCCATAACGAGTTCCATTGTCACACTGATCACTAAGAAAGTTTCTAGTGGTAAGAGCTTCAAACTGAATAAACTTGTTGTCTGTTTCTGCTAATACTTACTACTAATATGAAAGACTGATTAAATTGATGTATACAACACACATGATGTGCTTTAATAGTTTGTAAACAAACAGAAAATGCACAAGAACAGTCATGTTTTGTTGTTTTGAAGCCTTTAAATTAGTCTCCAGTTATTTGTGCACTTACACAGACAACTTTTTCATTCGTACCACATTTAGCTGTATTATATAAAAAAAAAAAAAAAAACTCCTGATTACGAAAGACAACAGTCCTAAATGAAAAGGACAACAAAGCCTTTATGGTAGCAAATAAAACTCACAACATTTTAAAAAGAGTATGTGGGTAGAGAGTTATGCTGCATGAATAGGAAATATTGCACATAGATAAAAAGGCTCTTGGGATGACATCATTATTAATTAAGTGAAAAGAAGGAGCAGACGTTTGTGAAGATTAGTTGAGCGAGGTGGAAGGGTACAGATATCTGTCTGAAGCAGTCTACTGAACAATTAACACCTCCCACACCCATAGCTATCAACTTCATTACTTGCAAGCACTCTCCAAGAAAAGAAAAAAAATATCATCATACGTACAAAAACAATGATTTTGTAAAAAAAAAAAAAAAAAAAAAAAGACAATCTCTAATTGACATCATTTAATACAGAACAGGCATTTAAAAAACGGAAGTAGCAAGTATCAATTTTGAATGAACAAATTTTGTTGAGCTCATTTGGCCAACTTTCCACATCCCTACAAGGTCATCAATCATTAATTCATTGGAAAAAAAAATCTGACAGAAAACTTAAGAAAAAACATGCAACAAGACATGAACGTGTTTCAACATACTATGAATTTATCATTGCTTTCCTTCCATTGAAAAAAGATGCTGCCAATCACAAATAACATTGTACTGAAGTCTTTATATACAGTAGCATACAACTCAATTATCTGATAATAGAAATAGCAATGTTCATGATTTTTTTACCTGTACAATAAGGTCAAGTTGTAATCTGATGAATGTTATCACTAAGAGATACAATTTTATAATTCTTGACATTTTGGGAATGGGCAGTGCATGTTTTCGGAAATGTCTGAAAATGTTCATACCGAAGACTGTTTTCGACCCTCAAGCTGTTGGACGATAAACATACATATTGCAAAGGCCTCTGGACTCTTCAGTAGAAGTCTTCACCGGTCAAAAAATTTGGACATGATTGGAAATGGACCTGTTTAAATGTCAACCAAACTCACCCATCTACCAGACAAAAAAACCTAAGTCTTAATTGTCTGGACATGGGACATCATTTTCATAATGTGGGGAATCAATTGTCATGACTTGGGACTTAAAACCAACTTGTAACTTTCACTACAGTATGAGACATTTTGGACAAACAGATCTGACACCCAGTCCAACTCTGGTACTGGTCTGTGTCTTGATCACTAGGAACCAAGTGAACTCATGAAGACCTCTATTCTCCAGTACATCTGACTGAACAGCTGAAAACAAAAGCACTGTATACTTATAAGCCCATAGACATTAAACAAAGCTAATTCAGGTAATGTGATTAGAATAACAAATTGCCACTAGAAATACCTTCTAGCATGTACTGATCGCTTTCCTTTTAAAGTTTGAGGCTCTCTCAATTGAATTTAATCTTTGAGGTATATGCACTGTATCTATCTTGTACAGGTTTTTACTGCTGGTAAAGTATAATCAATAATATTACACAAAAAGCTAAGACAACGAGAAATGTGACAAAAGCATGATTGTTCAATTAAGAGCACATGGGATTCCATACAATAAGGCATTGCTTTAATGAAAACATCTGGACAGACAGTTCACAGTTTAATTGAATTAAGTTGATGGACTAGCGATCATGACGTCCTTTTTAGTACTGATTGTTTCAGTCAACACATCGACGCAAAACCCGACCTATTCGCTCCTCAGCTCCAACACAGAGTACCTGATATGTAGAGATGGAAGCAGCCGGCCAATCACTACCTAAGCAGGGTGGGTGGGGGAGGGTCATCGTTGTGGACGACAAAGCAAGGAAATGTATTAACAGAAATTTGGCTAACTCTAACAACCATCAGGTTCCATTTTCACCTGTGGATTTACATCTGCACACTGAAGCTGCCAATTAACAGTGGTGAAAGGTTGTTTCGTACACAATCATTCTATGCTACAAGCACAGTTAAAAAAGAGAAAAATATACCCCATATACATATTACATCCACATATTTTGCAGACATCTGTGGAAATAATATTAATTTGGGATCTTTGCCTTATCTAAAATTATTAATTGGGAATCCGTGATAGATTCCAGGTGGAAAGAAAAACAAAACATAATAGCCAAAGGGCCAGCTTTCTTGTTTTAATGCTGCTAATATAGCCTATTTACACTTATCTATTATATGCAACAGAAATAACCTCTGTTTTCACTAAGAAGCTGATATGTTCTGGCCTTTTTCCAAAGAAGAAGAGTTAAATAAACCAAACAAAAAAAGGGAATTCATTAATTGTGCTTTTTAACCCATAAATCCACTTCATCGTTGAAATGGGACAATTTTAAGAGGCACCACTTTAAGTGCTTACATCAGTCAATGAGAATCTCTAAAGCTATAACAAGGACTGAAAATACAAATAGTAAATATAGTATATTTATATATTTATAAAGTTGATACAATTCCCTTCCAGTCTCATGTCCAATTTAAAAAATAGTTTCTTCTTGCTGTCAAACGTCTAACATGAAGGATCCCTCTTTGTGTCAACGCGCAAAGCCCTTATGATGCTCTAAGAGAGAAGTGTCTTTGCCGGGGTTGCTTCTAGTTTCCCAAAATCTGGATGACACAGGAAGCTTGTGCTAAAAAGCAGGAAGAGTTTTAATGTAGGAGGTTGTTTAAATAAGAGGACAGAACACCTCTGCTTAGGAGACTTGCTGATATGAGCGATTTCTTTTGACGTCATTGGTGTGTCTCAGAAACCCTTCAGCTGACCATTCTGCGGTTAAACAGTTACCTCGTTCTTACTGGCAGTGCGGTATGTGTGGTGGTGGCCGGGAATGTACTGTAGATGGTCCACCGTGTGTGTTCGTCGTGAGGCAAACGCCTGCCTCTTTGACGTGCTCGCTTGATGGTTGACCGTCAGCGTGTTGTAGGAGTCGTTAGAGGCACTGGGTTGAGAGTGCATCTTGGTCATCTTGTGGCGGTCCATGACAGGCGTGATTGGCAGCAGCATGTCGGCGTGAGACATTGCCCGTGCCATCGCCTTCTCCCGGAACTTGTCACGCCTCATCGCCGGGGACAGCAAGGGATCCTGGGAGTGGAGGCGGTCGGCTGACAGTAGCTGCTCGTCTGACAGGTGGCGACTGCTGCTGTATGCAGCGGCCGCCATGACACCATACGAAGATAAGCCGTAATCTCCTCGACGCGGTGTCCTGGGAGGAGACAGGACATGGTCCTGGGACATGGCCCTCTGGACTCGGCGGGGACGCTGCCGCTGCTGATGCTGATGCTGCTGGTGTTGCTGATGCTGCTGGGGATCTGCATTCAGCTTCACCATGTGGGTTGGTCCCCGGCCACCAAAATCAGGATGATGATGCTTCCTCGTGTAGTACTCATCTACATCCTTATCACCTGAGGAGTAAGAAGACAAACGTAATCAGAGAGAGACAATATTGAGTATTGGGATTTTGTTGTAACAACTCTTTTAGAATGGGTTTTCTACTCTGCCGTGATTCCCACATTTCCTAGAATGCCATTTAAGTACACTCACAACTGTACTGACAGAATACATTCTGATGGACACTTGGTGAACCATGGGTCCATTTCACTAAATATGCAACATATGCAAGTTGCAATTATCAGCATAAGATAATTTCCTTTCCTGTAATTTCTGACAAATTTCTCTAATCAAAACAAATACAATTCTTGCAAGGAATGCGTGTGCATGCAAGAGCCCTGTAGGACTTCCAAATTTATATGCAATTTTCAACTACCAATGTGTGAAAATGATTTGAAATCTGAGTGTAAGCAGTGCTCGCAAATCACTTTCTTGCAGCAGGCCTTCAGACCACTGGAAGGTTTTGGACAGATTTTTTTTAATGCTCTGTTTAAACACCCTCCCCCAGATGAGGGTAAAGAGTAGAAAACTCAGAAGTTCACTACTTCTTTTTCCTTTCCCTGTTTCTGGTCGCACACACATTCTTTAAAGCTTTCAGAAAAGATCTCCAGCCAACCTCACGACTTGATACCCAGCTGGGGGGAGGCAGCTCATTGGGCACAACACTCATTGGGCACAACACAAGTTTCCCCTTGTACATGTGGTTGTGTGGACTCAGACAACATCAAAATCTAACAAACATACTGACTGAACAAGAGTGGTTAAAAAAGCATTAGGGAGTAAAATGAGACAAATTTTTCTCCATTATATCTGTCCTACACCTTCTGGCTGCTGTTGAAGGGATGAAGTGATGATGATTATCAACACAGTAGTTGGAGAACTGTTTTGAACTGTTTTCTCCTTTTCCTGCATGAAAACGGAACAACACCAGACTCTCATCAGTGTAGTTGTCCTTCAGTGTGGCCCATCAGTATGCCACAATAACAGTTCACAAGCTGGTTGTGCCGGGCAACCAGTCGTTTAATTCCTCTGCCAGAAAGCAGGTCAGTCTTTTCGCTAGGTGCACTCATGCTCCTAACAGTAAAGTCATTTACAGCTGTATTAACCACAGACCACAGGCAATCAGCTCTCAGCAGACTTGTTCATGGAAACGCTTGCACACAGGGGGATGCTACCAGTTGAGGCTGAGGGGCTGTTACCTTTGCAGTAGTTAATTATTGCAGAACAAAGAGGTCGAACGGTCGTTTTAGGACCATACCACGCTTGACCGAGTGGTGGAGAAGAGAGATGATGGGAATTGTTTGTCTGGATGCTCGGCTCTCTGGGAGAGATGTCATGCCTGGATGCAGAAGGTCACCTTATTGTCCCTCCATGAGGGGTTTCATGTCCACTGCTCTGTGCATTCCTAATGAAAGAGGCCCAACTTTGGCCTGTGGCGATGTGCTTCAGCATTTTTCCCTGAAGGGTGGGTTTAGATGTGACATTATGGCAGAAAATGTCAACCAGAGGCTACAAGTATACAGACAATCAAAAAGACGCAGCTAGTAGCTCCATTAATAGGTCAAATTCAAGTATCCAGTAGTTCTGTTGTGATTATAGACTAAAGTTTTAATGTGGCAGGGATAAGTTTTAATGTGGCAGGGATTTTTTTATGTCCTGCTATAACAATGAGAATCCATACATGAATACTCAAATAAATGGCGAGTGTTAGATGATAGCCAGTGATGTTGCTGACAGGAACAAATAAAGACCAAGTCAAGAACTATGGTGATTGTGACTCAAGTAAATACTAAACACACGCCCCTCTTACTGTAACAGAAATACTGTTACCATTCATTACCATTCGCTTCCTTTAAAAAACATTTAAGTTACTGTCAATAAAACTGCAAATGTTTCAAATTAATAGCTTAGTGAAGTTTGTACATCCACTGCATTTTCTTCAAAATAAAAGCTTAACAGGAAAGGGAAGGATTATGCTTATTGTGCTGCTGCAAGTCTTTTCATGTAAAAGAGCCACCTCAAAAATGCCAACTACAAATGCATTTCTTCCCCTGGAACTTCCATTCGATTTAAGACTTGCCTTTTATGAGCGCACACTTGTTACACTGTTTACACTTTAAGTGAGTGAAATGATTTAAAAGGGGCAATGCATATAATCTCTACGGCTCTGATAAAATGCAACACTTTACAATTAACATGATTGCGAGAGGCTAAAGGGTCCCAAATGTGGAGTGGAGCTACAAACACAGGAAATTGCTAACAACGGCTAATTAAACCCCAGCTCCCACTCTGCTAGATTAGATTCAATACAGCCAGTGTATTTATGTGACAGCTATTGATCACAGAAGCCCGTAATCATATAATGCACTGATACTCGTGAAACTGGTGGAACATCAATTATAAAGTGATCTTTAGAGAGGTTCCGAGCAGGAGAGGAGAAATTAAAGGAGGAAATGCAGCAATATCCTTTGAGTTTTTTCTTTTCTGGAAGATTTAGGATGGCATGTTTGTTCTAAAAGGTGTTTTGATCCCTTTTAGGGTGATTGTGGTGAAAGAAACAGAGCCAAACAAGATTTGTTTCTCCTCCTTTTTGTGGCCTCCTTGAAGGAGCTGAGCAGGTTACTTTAGGGCAGCGTCCTCAATCTCTGCCTCGATGACATCACTGAAGGATGTGCAAGATGGAAGAGGAATCACACACACAGACAGACGTGCACACACACACACACACACACGCACACAGACAGACACACACGTCATTTAAAATTGCAAATAAACCACACTAATTTAATTTTGTCATCGTCTCTCCGGATGGTTTAATTAAAATAGCAACTAATCACATTACTTTTAGGCTTGTTTCCAAAGACCTCACTCATGCTTGAACCTACAATTAATTTTTTTGTCTTTGAGTGGAAGGGCTTTCTTCAAGGGACTTTGCTTGCTTGTTTGACAAATTCTGGAGGGCTCCTGTCTCAAATTCGAAAAGCGCTTTGTAGTTCAGCGTGATTCATCTCTGCGATTTTCTGTGTGTACAAGGCTCCAGCGAGATAAGAGCAAAGCCTCGAGTTGATAAGGGAGAGAAAAGGCAAACGTATAAAAGAATTTTGAGTGCACTGAAAGGAGATTGCACCCATGCATGTTTTTCTATTGCGTAATAGAAAAACATGCCACCAGAAATGGACTGATGACACATTTAAATGACTTTCTCTCAGTGTATCTTCTCTTAAGGTGAATGGTGCATTCCCATGTGTTTTGTACCAATGCATAACAATGCGAAAATCTGCTGTGCATTGAATTCATTCCTGCAAAAAATGCTTTGAAGAAAACGTACAGCATAAATACTCTGTATAGGGATAAAGGGCTCTGCAATGTTTTCACTGGCACTTCAGAGTAAACCCAGAATAGCTTGTTGAGGCTAAAGGCTAAATGTTTCTAGAAAGATTTACTGTCAACAAATGTTTACACTGTATACTTGAATCACTCGATTGGCATCCTAGTTATATATTGAGCTATGTGTACACTTTCTTGGATGGATAGATGAATGTGTTTTGTTACCATTTACTGTGGTGTTGCTGTGGTGTTAAACTGCAGACACACTGATCTTATTCAATGTCTGTTTACTTGAGTGCAAGAAAAGAAATCTGAAAGAAGAGACAGAAGACTGGGAGAAATATCTGCCCTTCGTTTAGTTCACCAATTTAAAAGGAATTTTCGCGCTCAGTTGAGAGAAAACGTCCCTATTTGAGGATCTCATCACTCTCATTCAAAATTTGAAGCTCATCTGAAAGTGGTTCATCTCAAAAGCTGACGCATGAAAAATGGATACGTCTCAAGTGGAGGATCTGAAGTGTAAGTAGTCAACTAAAAATAATATTTTTGTTCCTGGTACTTTAAAGATTCTGTTTGAACCACGTTTGCAAAATCATCTAGAGCTGTACATCAGCTGGAGGAGAGATAAATACACCGCAAGTTCTGCTTTTGATACATCTTGGTATTATCTGACAGAACAGAACATTCAGGTAAAAGATTTGGCATTGGTGTTGATTCAGAATTAACACTATCTGTGTTTTCACTCCATTATACTGCAAACCAGGATACAGGATACATCAGGCCTACGGCATCTATTAACCATCTACAAGCTGCTTTTTACTAACTTCAGTCCTCATTTTACCAATTAAATCTAATCTTGAATATCCCAAAAACGAATTTATTTTTTCTAAATCATGCCCATTCTGTACCAAAGGAAGGTTACCCTTCATACAACACTTCATGCAAATACCTTGCCAAAATGACAAATTGCATTTCTTCACTTACGACATTCACTCCAGGGTCAAATGACTCTACAGTATTCCCGGGTATTTATGGGTTCCAGCTCCGATCGTCAGTGATGACAACATGACGCCCGGATGGACACGCCAATATTCGCCCCTTTTCTGCCATGGCTCTTTTATCCGTTTCTATCTGAGGATGTCTATAAACATCTCATCCATTTGTTTCTGTAGTATTTGCCTGTGACTTTATACCCGCCCTGCGTTGTCTTTCAAGGCATACAAACATCATAATAATCGTTTCAGATTAACACTTTGTTTCAACTGCAAAATTTACAACCATGGCAATTCTTGTCCATACAGATACTCTAATCATCTCAATTCCTTTTCTGCTCTTGCTCCTTATTCACTGGCACAAGTTTATTGTTTCTTTCCATTCTCTGAGCAGCCTCAGCGTATGATAATGCTTTTCCTGCTCCGATCTTTTTCGATTCTATTCCCTTAATTCTTTTTGAACACTGTGCTGACCCCCGTACAGTGATTTCCCCCGCAGTGCATTGCACTTTGCTTGCTCCTTCTCTTCTTTGCACTCCTCCACATGGCAGTTATTCTTGCCACATCTTATGGCTCCTATACAAACTGCAGCAACATATTCATATTCCTGACAGCAGAAACATCTGAGACGAGCTCTCTGATTTGGCCTCACCCTGTAACTAGTGATGTGTGGATTGATCCTAATGTATCTATTTCTGATACCAACGTTTCCTGCTCCAGGATTGATACTCATATAAAAGGATCCATGTATAAACTCAGTAATTTGGAGTGAGTGTGTGTTTTATCATAGGTATCTTACTGTCACCAGGATGGTCTAACTACTAGGATGATAGGAACTACTTTTCCTTCCGCCTGTCAAAGTCATGCTTGCGCTACGGCTCTGTGATGTGAAGTGAGCCACTGCAGCCCTTTACATTTCCCGAGATTGAATACTTACTCTGGCTGACTGTAAAAACAGTTACGTCTGGCTGTGTTGTAGCTTTGAAGGTAATATTGACGCTGTGTGCGATGTGTGTGCAAAGACAGTGAAATACTTTGGCAACACCACAAACTTCGCTAAACATCTGAGATTAAGTCAAAATAATAGGATGATGTTATGAAGCAGCAGTTCTGAGCAGGATATTTTCATTATAATTAAAGAATATGACAGTAGTTTGATGTCTTGTTAATTATGCAGCTATTATTTTGTATTGGTAAGGCTACAGCCTACTCCTTATTTCTCTCATAAATACAGAAAAGGGAGAGGGAGGTCACATTAAACAAGATACATTAAAAAAGTATCGGTATCGGCAATACCAGCCTGGGTATTACTTGGTATTGGATCGTATAGGAAATAAGTGGTATCGCACATCACTACCTGTAACACACACAATCAAGAAATACCCTTTCTGGTAATCCCCCCCCCCCCCTTAAAGGTCAAACACACCGGATGACTTTCCTCCTTCTCCCCTTTTCCGAATCTTCTTGCATCACACACATCTTCAATATACCAAAATTACTCTACCTCCACAGACAATGACACGCCACTTACCACTCCTTTCTTTTTTATTTCTGATCTGAGTGGGAAGCAAGTCTAACTACTATACTCTCCAAATACATGAATCTTCAGGGCTTTATCTCTCTGACGCTTTGACACACACTCAATGATAACCACCCCGCTTCTTGTTCCTGACCGACCGTACATCTCCAAGTTTTCCTCCTACAAACTTCCGTTTGTGTCACAGCTACCATCAACAACGTCTCCTCTTTCTTCTTATGACTAGAATCGCTTAAAAGATTCTTCTTCTTCCTTTTGTTCAATTTATTTTCAAATCAACTTGTGTCCTTGTTTCCTATTTTGCTCTCCAATTCCTCCACTACCTCCATTTTCTCCACCTGCCACCTATCTTTCACTGGCCTTGATGCTGCTTTCTACTGTTTACTAACCCTGTTTTCCGGCATGGTTGTGACGTCAAGCGTGACACATCAGAGAAAAACAGAAAAGGCAAACCTTACTAACAATGTGAAAGGAGTCTCTCGCCTGTTGTTAGCGGGTATAGCTGTGTTTAAAAACCTGCATATATGCAATTGTGATGTAAAAAAAGTATGTGTTTTCACACATGGAAGAAAAAAACCAAGAGAAGTAAACATGAAGTCATATGGACTGACAGGAGACGCAATGAATTCACTGATTGATGATGATATCATCCTGCAGCACTACAGTATATGGATCCATGTGGACGTTTTTTGTGGAAATGTGGAAATTTTTCTTATCATATGGTAGTTATGAGCATTGCAACTGCAATTTGGCTTTTAGTATATGAATAATAGCAATAGGATAAAAAAAGAGAAAGTATTACACTGGGGGGGTAGTTTGATAGTTACTGTGTAGTCACAAACACAAGAAAACTGGTCTAACTCTTTGTAACTCAGGGAAAACCTTTGCATTCATATAGTGATGTCGTACATGCAGTACATGTTATGGTTTAGGTTTTGATTCATGCTTAAATCACACATCCAATATCCTGAAATCCTGCGGTTGGTCTATTTTGTGGTGTCAGTAAAGTTGTTTGGTAAAGGTTATGTGTGAGAGGACCCTCAGTCTTGTAACCAGAGTACCATGCTGGATCACAAACTCACCACTGTATTGGTAAATGTCCTACCTCCATATAATGCTGTCCCCTGTATACAGATAATCTTCATTGTCGGAAAGTCTGTTCTGAACTTTGTTTTGGAGTAATTTTCAACATAAACTTAAACTGGAAACACTGACTTCCTATCAGGCATTCAAAAGCCACATTCAAAACATGTTTTAAAATGTCACAGCGAAGATAATGAACTGTAGCATTGCTGAGATATTAAAGCGCCATCTTGTTGGCCTATAGAAGTCATTCAGCTGCAAAAAAAATGTCTCTTTTAATATGTCATTAAGAGACATTAGCAACATGACATGGGCTGCAGATGGAGCCAAATTACACGCCAATTAGATGTCAGTCCATGGGCCGATAGATGAGTCGATGGGAATGCGTATGGAGGTTCTAGCGCGTTGTCATGCATTTTAAGAAGTTTATATCCCTAAAAAGGTGAAAAAGTGAGAGGACTATCTGCATGATGAGCCACTAAACATCTGGAGATACTTATCATGATACATGTCTCTGTAATGGACATTTAGATGTTTCATCAGGCCAGACGTGCTGAATGTGGCGACCCTTTAATGCACAGGGCATGAGGGTGACGTCATTCCCTGTCTTTTTTTAGTGCATCAGGCAGACCAAGGCGACCAAGGACAAATGAAGGACCACCTACTTAATCTGTGGAGGGAGGAGGAGTATTTACTTAAGTCAGACTTGAGGGCCAGCTCGTAGGAGGGCGGCAGATGGCTGAGGTTCTGGAAGGATCTGGAGAGGGACAGGTCGTAGGGCTCCGTGGCTGAGGTCAGGATGTTGTTCATCCGCTGGGGTCTCTCTACAGGGGACAGGGAAGGAAGCGGTGCGGTGCAGTCAGTGTGAAGTGACAGTCAAAGAGATGGGAAATACACTGGGAGTCTTTACTGGAGGAGAGAAAGGGAGGCAGAAAGGCAGATAAAGAAGGCAAGGTGTGATGTAGTGGGAAGTGTGGATAGGGAAAGATTTTGGGTGACCTGTTGACCCTTTGTTGGAGATTATGGAGGTCTAAAGTGGCTAAAAAAGGCTGGTTGCATTTTGAGATGTAAAACAGATTTTTCTTAACCCTTTTTCTCCGAAATGAATGAAAGCTTTTGGGGGTTTTAAAGTCATGGCTGCAGGCAGGGAGCCACATACCCATACCATCTGCACTGTCATCTAAAGGTGTGTTCAGATCAAATGTGAAGTGAATGTCCAATGCACTGACCGAACAGATGCTTGATTAAGCTGTAGCTAGTTAGTTGAGAATGACTTTGTATATTACGTGCTATGACTAATTCAAATACTTGTTGTTCACATAGCTGTTTTCTTTAATAACCTTCTTGGATAAATATTGGTTATATCCATGTTCAGTTGCAATGCCCAACACTAGGTGTGCATGTTGGCCCCTTTGCAAACCTCTGCAACCTACAGTTACTTATAGCACTCTGCTCTGCAGAGACATTAATGTGTATGTTCTCAGAAGTAAAATTTGGTGTCAGTCTGAGCACACTTTAAGGAATAGGCCATTTTGTGCACCAACATCCACCAGGAGGCATCTGTGAATAACAGAGCCATGTCAACAACATGTAGGTGATACAGGGGTCTTTTTGGATACACTATATACAAAAAAGTTAAAAGAAGAAATAATACACTGGGATAAAGTGATTAAAAAGGCAATCTACAGTAAACTTACTGAATTTTGAAGGGAGTCTGGTATTTCAAGGGCATTTTAAGATTATTGTGTACTGAATGTTGATGAGTTGTGGCATCAATAAAATGTACAAATCTGTGCTTCTTTGCCTTCTCACATTTTGAGCCAAATGAAAACTGCATCTGCGTCTAAGCAGCTCAAGTGACACTTGGTTCATTGTGAAAGGCCTTTAGCAGTTCTGTTTCTGGTATCAGTGATGTGTGTGGCACCATTACGGCTCCCTGCACTGTGCGGAGCTCCTGTGGCTTCAGTATTTGGGACGCCCAGTCATGGGTCAGGTGGCGCAGCGGGTGGGGAGGGCTGGGATACGGGGAGGGACTCTGGTGCTGGATTTAAAAATAGGACGGGGCAACTACTGCAGCAAGGAGGACAGGGACACACAACACCAAGGAGCATATGGTGTAGAAGGGAGACATTCACTGAGTTGAAAAAAGAGAGTGTTGGCGTGTGTGTGTGTGTGTGGGAGGAAGATAGAGCCGGTTAGTTGGAGTGAAACAGGAAAAATAATGCGTGAAGAAAAGATTTTGAGATTGGGCTAAAGGTCATGGATTGTAATGCAGCGGCATGAAGTTTAGTGACTGCAAAAAATACACAAGCAATCAAAAAAAACCAGAAAGGAGAATACACAATGACCCCCAGTGTCATGTAAAGAATTTTTATCTCTATATGATATATGTGGAAGAAAAGGTGAAGAAAAAAATACACATAATCACCATGTGTATGTGTATTACTTACCGTATCTCATTTGTCTGTGGGCTAACAAATCCAAGTGAGAAAGAAAGGATCAATAACAATCAATGCGCACAAAATGTTTCAACCAAACCTCCCATGGTAGAGGTGGACCATGGTCAAAGCCTGTATTGCAAGGATGTTGCGAAGAGTTAACACAAAGATCAAACCAGCTACCCCTGAATTAGGCAGAACAGCGACGATCATCGTCAGAAGCTATATAGACTTCAAAAGTACTTTTGAAACCCATTTTCCCAATGAAAAGGCCGTCCTTTTTAAGAGGCAGACAAGCACAGGCAGAATGTGGACTGCAGCGCTCCACTAATGGTGGAAAAGTTTGTATAAGGACTCATTGATGATCTCTCAGCTTTAACCTGAAAACACTGACACAAAACATCGACCTTATGTAACAAGCAAGGCCCGAATACCTCTTGAATTACATTGTGTTTCATTTCATTGCCGTTTAGATGCAGGGGCATTCAATAAGTCCACACTAAAAGCTGCTCTCCTTCCACGGAAAATCACATTTTGAAAAATAGATGGGATTCAGTAACAGTAATTGGGCTTTCAATAACTGCACAGATGATACTTTGATTATCATACACTTTCTGCTTTCATTTTCTCCGAGGACTTCTTTATCAGTTCCTCAGATTTTAATTTCCCCGTGAGAGATATACTTTTGTCCTTGAAATTGGAAATAGTCTATCGCAAGAATTGTTTGGCTTACTTTAATTTAGAGACAGATAATAATGCATATTATTTTGGAACGTCATGTCAGGTCAATCATCTGTTTTTTTAAAGTCAGTGTAACTTACGTAGAACTTTATTTTAGCATTGAAAAGATGCAGCATGGTGAGGTTTTGCTGGTTATTTTTCCCAGTATGCATTACATTTTCATTTCAGTATTACACAGTGATTGTCTGTCTCCAATTAAGGACTATACTACATTAATGTGTTTTCTTACCTAGCTTAGGTGTGAGCGCAGTCAGATCCAGGTGGCTGTGCTGGTAGTCGTGGTGATGGTTTCCTATTGTAAGAAGAACAAAGAGTTCATTTCAACATGTTAGGTTGAAGAGTCGTTAGATATGTTTAGTCATTACCCTTGATGTTAAAGGGTCAGTTCAATCGAATCACCAAAAATCATATTTTCCCTCTTGACCTTTGTGGCTAGCCATGTGGTTAGTTTCAGTTCAGTTTTTGAGATTTCCTCTGCAATAGTCCAACAATTGGACTATTGTAATGGTATCCCCACCTTCTACTGGTCTATAAATCTCTACGTTTCTGACTGTCTTTTTCATATAATCCATTTCAGCTTTCCAGGTCATCCAGTAAGAGTCTCTGAACTGTTCAGTCCAAACTAAACTTGGAGAAGCAGCATTTGGAGCTGAAACAATCTTACACAAGATAACACTCGCCTCAGGTTTAACTGTTTTAGTTCTCCACCGCCTTTGACTTATTCAGTATCATCCTCAACTACCTTTTTATTTATTTCTGCTGTCTTATTTAAAAAAAATTAATTGTTCTAAACTGTTAATGATTAATAAATTATTTATAAATTGTCTTATACTATACTTAATTATAGAATTTTTTGGTCATTCTATGAGCATGGCCTTTAAGAATTGTTGTAAAATGTGTTTCCCTCAAGATGAATTACATTTGGTGATCCTGACTTTAAAGTACCAAGCCACCATCAGGTCAAAATGTTTATTTGCCCAGTACATTGTTTGTGACCAAATAGCTGCTAAGGTACTTAGCAATTATTAGCATGCAGTGATGGAATGTAACTAAGTACACTTCCTTATTTAAGTACTGTGCTTGACTATGTATAAGGTAAATATGTTCAACTATACTTGAGTATTTTCATTTCATCATACTTCTACTCCACTACAGTTCAGGGGGAAATATTGTATGTTTAATAAAAGCATTTTACAATCAAAACATATGATGAGTTTATGAGGCAGCGTTTCAACGATTAAACAACCCAACATCATAAATATGATATACAATTAGTTCCACCTAGACCAGCTACAACAACAAAATGCTCCTTAAGCATTGCACTGCACTACATTACTGCATCAGTAATAATAATCCAATAATTTAATATATAAGCATTTTCTACACTTTGAGTACTTCTGGTTTTGATACTTAGTAGGCTATAGTTTAATATATTTTGCTAATAATACTTGTGTACTTTTACTTAGTAAAGCAATGCAGGACTTGATACTTTCACTTAAGTAAAGGATCTAAATACTTCTACCATTGTTAGTATGCTTCCATGTTAATCTAAGATGGTAAAAATTGTGAGCGTTATACATGCTAACATCAACATGTTAACATTGTCAGTGTGACCATGTTAGCATGCTGACGTTTTCTGTACAGCCTCACAGAGCTTGCTAGCGTGGCGTAAGTCTACAGTCTACTTGTTTAACATGTTATGCAACCACTTTGTATTAGCCCGTTTGTCTCTGTCTTGCCTTAATAATCTTCACATATTGTGGATTAGCTAGATACTGAAAAATGTGTTTTGGGATTTGGAGAACTGACCCTTTGTGAGTTCAGCACCACAAGCTGTCTGACAAATCATCCTGTTCAACAGAGTATCAGTCGACATCCAAGTCCAGTCATTGTTTGCTGTATCCCCACCAGATATAAGAGCTTTGATTTGTCAGTGCATCTCAAGAGAGCAGTAAACTGTCATGGCTCAGTTATGGGACTGTGAGTGTTTCTTCTGTTTGACAGTCCACAGTGTTGCTTTGCCAAAATGATTGATTACAGCCTCTTTATACAAGAACATGGAAGCAGCTACCATGCTACCATGGTGATCTATCTTTGCTGTAAGTGAGTCATTTGATGTTGCACTAATATCGTTATGTGTTGTTTGAGTGGTTAAAGAAGCAACATCTTCTGAGACCTCCATCACTGAGCAGCAATGTGAGTTCAAATAATTTCAGAGTGAAAACATTCCCTTTATTAAATTACACCAGGTGTTTCTCAACAACAGTGAATACAAGACATGGATATGTGATTGTACCTTATTTACATTTAAATATGTTCATCTATCATCCTATAAGAATGTTATTGACAATAAAAACAAAGCCATGATGGCGTAAAACTACATATAAGGGCTCTTGAGCAAGCTTTGAACTGAAAATAGAGGGGTTGTGTTCTGGTTTTGCTAAAGATCAGTGCCTGCATTTCAATAATGATGCTTTACCAGCGGCTGGATGTGACATTTCTGACAGATGTTATTTGACTTTTTCTCAGATCTGAGCAAGTATTTAAATAATAATCTCACAGATTTAAATGTGGTGTTGGAATTTCTTGTTTATTTGAAATTGATATTAAGTTCAGGAGAAGAAGGAATGTAAAGGCTACAG